CACACACACAAACACACACACACACACACACACACACACACATATATATATATATATATATATATATATATATATATACCTGTCTATTCTCTCTATACATATTTGTCTGTCTGCCTCTTTATATATATATATGTGGCACCATGCATTATTAGAAAAACTAAAAAGAAATATTCATAGAAATATGATTTTATTTTATTCGGTTTATTAACCAGTTGTTAGTTATTTAGACGAAGAATAATTAAGTTTGAGAATAATTCTCTAAGTGTATTTAGGCGACCCTAAGGGAAGAAGAAGGGAAAAAGAAAAAGGAAAAGAAAAGAAAAGGAGAGGGAGAGATGGGTAATGCAAAAAGCCGGTCATTAGCGAAAACAGGTGTCAAGAGATATCTAGGCCAACGCGCCTAACCGAATTTCAAAAACAATGGAAATTGTTATTTGGAAGAATAGAATTAAAGGTAATTAAAAGAAAGAAAGAAAACAGACTTGGTAAAAGTGTATGAACATACGTACGATTGATAAAAATATCGGTCAAAGCATCTGGCCTACTTTTGTGTAGAAGCTCATTATCAATTTGGAGAAATGGGATTTTTAGAACAATGGAAAACGAAATATTAATCGGAGAAGGGTGTCTTTTGGGATGAGAAGGTGACCGCTGGAATTGTATACAGATCTTGACCTGTTGAAAATTAGAACCCCCACGATGATGAAGTGAAGACATTTTCAATTCAGATAATTAAGATTTTTGACTATCAGGTCTGAGCAAAAGCAAAGAGGTGAAAACAATTGTTTTGGCTCACAGAAAGCGCCAGCGAGACGAGAAAAATTCTTCCTGAAGTCATATCTAATTAGCGGCGGGCTGTTTTGACAAAAGCCAAAAAGTGAGAAAAGGCCGAGATTGTCATTTTTCGTGCGTGCAAAAAAGGCCAAATTGGATTTTGTTTTTTTAGCAAGGTGTCTCTTTCCCAGAACAAAGCCGGGATAGACCACGCCCGATTGGAGACGTCACGAAGGACGGGAGACGCCCAACCAGAATCTCGTTAGCCGAAAGCGGTCACGTGATATGCGAGAAAGAGGAGAAAGGACGCTCGACCAAGACCCATTGGTCGAAAACGGTCACCTGACATACGAGAGACCGGGAGAGATGGGTATGCGCCTCCCCCCCCCCCAGAGGCACTGTGAGGAAGTAGGGGTGAAAATAAGAGCGATAATGGGAAATCAGAACTAATGCGACTTTTGGAATTGTCAGGAAAACCCTGACGCCGACAGACCCACCCCAGTTTGTTGCGGCGTCAATAAAAGCAGGACCCCAATCGACAGACGTCAGAGAGTTGCGGGGTAGACGGCCAGAGCAGTTGGAGAGCGGACGGCGGGCCCTGTTCATTCGCCCCTTGCGGGCAAGAAGGGTCGGTCCGTTTGGCCCGGACAGGCAGAGAAGTTGCAGCCAAGTCGAAGAGAAGAAAATTGCTCGAAAGCCGCAGAGAAGTTGGAGCAGAATTGCAGGCCAGACAGGCCGAAGAATTGCAGGCCAGACAGGCAGTAAAGTTGCAGGCCAAACAAGCAGATCAGTTCAGCCCCGGAAGGCAGAGAGAAGAGATCACCTCAGACGGCAGAGAGAAGAGTTCGGACCTTGGCGAGTAGAGTTGCAGGACGGAAGAAGAAGGAGTTACTTGCAGTTGCGTCTAGAAGAAGTTGAAATCAGGCCAAGCCTGAGGGTGGGAATTCGTCCAACCCAAATCGAAGTGAAGAAATACGTCCAACTCAAGCCGAAGCGAATAAGCTCGTCCAACTCAAGCCGAAGAGAAGAATCAGCCGTGAACGACTGGTAGAGATTAGCGCCCAGTGTCGAAACCAAGCCACACTCCGACATACAAAATTCTAGAGAGTAGGCAACTCGAAGTCTTTAAGTTGTATGATAGAAGCTTGTTACAGTCCACAAAGCGGGTCGGGAAGTAAGAATAATTTTTATGTAACGAACATTAGATATAAAAGGTTGTTACCCTTTTTTATCAGTAATTTTTGGCCTCGTGAGTTTTTTCTTTTACTTGTGTATTGCCACCCCGTCGAACTCAACTGGCATACGGCCCCAATCCCTGTTTGATCCCGTCTGTCTAAGATCTAATCACAACGTGGGTAGGCAGACCGGAGATCAGTACAGTTACCCTAGTAACCAGGTGTTGGAAGCGAGTTGGGAACGGCGAGGCTGGTAATCATCTAACCAAAGGGTTGGAACGTCACACTTGGAGCAGCGAGGAGCGAACAGCTGACGCCGCGGCAAAACGTCACGTCACAGTTGGAGCCGCGAACGAGATCGAACGACATAGTCGACGCTGCGACCAGGAGGAGCGACGTCACAGTTGGCGCCGTGACCAAAGGATTCGACCCTGGACCAAGGATGTCATATATATATATATATATATATATATATATATATATATATATATATATATATATATATGTATGTATGTATATGACAAAAATAACCTGGCCCATCGTTAAAGTGTCAAAAAAGCAAGTTCAAACTTATATAAGAATATAGATCTTACGTTATTACTTACTAACTACCAAAAAACAAAAATCCCCACCCAACAACCCCCAGTGATTAAATTATGTCAATGGATGGTATATATATATATATATATATATATATATATATATATATATATATATATATATATGGCAGGGACGATATCACCCCTGAAATAATAATAATGAAAATAAAGGAGGATATGGTGTAAAACAGAAAGCAACAGGTGAAAGTGAAGCGTTCTCGAATATGCTGTAAAGACTTTGAAATGAAAATGATGCAGAAAGTTAATCTGGAGCACGAAGGATATCAGATTACTAACAGAAAATTACTGGAACAATAACAATCTGGAACTTTAAAATAAAAGAAATGGATTTTGACACTATAAGAATCGAAGTTAAAATTATATGTATGCGTATGTAGATATGTGTATACGTGGATATGTCGGTATGTATGTGTGTTGTATGACATGATTTATTCTATCGGGTTTTTCGGTATTACAGGTTTTTGGGAATCTATTATTTAGATAATTTGTTCTAAATTTAAATTGTCTTTAAATCTCCTATCACTTAATAGTATAATCCACTAGCAGCAACCTAAATTAATTTACATACAATTAAGGGCTTTGGCCATAAATAAACTCCCACCTCCTTGTCATCAACCCAGAGTCATTAGCAAAATAGCTCCGTACTTTCTCACCGACTGCTGTCTAGGGCTGAGGAGGACTGGTATATGGTTGTACTACTCTAAAACAAACTATACCCACATGAGGTAATTTTGGATTTTTATGGTAAGACATATATATATATATATATATATATATATATATATATATATATATATATAGGTAACTATACTCGTCTCGAAAAAACTTCGAATTTTGATTTGCCAATAATAAAATCAATCACGAAGGAAAAAAGTTTTTTAAAAAAGAAAGAGCTAGAAACATGAAAGTCTGTCGGAAAAAATCGCACAGATACAGGCTCAAAACCCAAAGGAAAAAAAAACCGACACGAGTAAACAACTAACTAAAAAGAGCTCAATACAATGGTAGAGCAGACGTAGTCAAACCGAGTAAGCCAGACAAACCTACCCAGGTTTCACCTAAGCGGATCGTCAGGGAAAGCTGGCTAAAGAGGCAAAAAGAGAAACGGCATATTTATAGCCGATAATCAAAATCATACCACGTGGCCAAAGAAAAAAAAATAGAAAAACAAGAAAAAACAACACAACACAGGGGTGGGGTATGATTTCGATATTCGCCTATAAATATGCCGTTTCTCTTTTGCCTCTTTAGCCACCTTTCCCTGACTATCCGCTTAGGTGAAATCTGGGTAGGTTTGTCTGGCTCACTAGGTCTATCTATCTATCTATCTATCTATCTATCTATCTATCTATCTATCTATATATATATATATATATATATATATATATATATATGTGTGTGTGTGTGTGTGTTTCTATTTATTTTATTTTAATCATCTCAAATTCATGGATCAATTTCTTGGTGATGTTACAAAACTGATTAAGAAAGACGCCGTACTTTAGGTTATTTCTTTTATTTTCCCAAGTACTTTCAGTCATATCCAAAATCATCTTCAGGCGTGAATTGCTAACACAAAAAAATAATGCAACACATAGTTGTGATTTTTTGTAGATGCGCATGAACGCGCCCCGTTATAGTCATTTTAAAAATTAAATATTAAGAATATGTATGGGTGTAACTTAATTTATCTTTTTTTTTATTAAGGTTTTAAAATACTCAACCTGAAATGTAAAAAAAAAGATTACAATTTGATTTGGCCAAAACATTGATTTATAGGCATTTTAAACCACTGTTGCTATACTCATTTATTGGATGAGACTGAAAGTACTTTGGAAAATAAAAGAAATGACAAAAAATTACGGAGTCTTTCTTAATTAGTTTAATGACAACACTAAGAAATTGATCCGTGAATTTAAGAGGATTAAAATAAAAAGTAGACATAATATATTTAGATTATTCAACTAAATATTTACGAATGAAGATATGTTGCCTAAATGATAGTAACAGTATTAAATAGGTTTATTTATTCAAATTTATTGATGTAGTACTTATTAATGCTATTCATTTAAATTTACTGCTATATATAAGCAGGTTGAATCCTTGTCATTTTGGAGGCAATTAACTGTTTACTTCCTTTAGTTGGCAAATCTGTAGAGAAACAGATTTGGTACCGCTGTATAGAATGTCAACTAAAAAAAAAAAACACTAACATTCGCATTATCTGGAAAAGTGTTGTTTTTATTGCTTAAATATCAACTTCAATATATTTCTGCATATGGAACGAACAATCAGAAACGAAATGCCATGTTTTTCAAATTCAGCAAAAGGAAAATCTGAAAAAAAATATTGACAAAGTGTGAAAAAATAAAAATGAGATTAATTATGACACTGAATTTTTTTTATAAAAAAATGCTATAAAAATATATTTTAGTTTTCCAACAGAAGGAACAAATTTGCAGGTGTTCCATTTTTGTGGAAGAGATGTATTTAATTTTCTTCATCTATCTATCTATCTATCTATCTATCTATCTATCTATCTATCTGTCTCATTCTGTTCATATCTATCTATCTCATTTTGTTTCTATCCATCTGTCTATTTATCTATCTCATTCTGTTCATGTCTATCTATCTATCTATCTATCTATCTATCTCTCTATTACAGTCTATATACTACAGTCCATCCATATCTATCTATCTATCTATCTATCTATCTATCTATCTATCTATCTATCTATCATTACGTTTCTGTCTATCTCATTTTGTTTCTATGTATGTATGTATGTATGTATGTATCTATCTATCTATCTATCTATCTATCTGTCTGTCTCATTCTGTTCATATCTATCTATCTATCTCATTTTGTTTCTATCCATCTGTCTATTTATCTATCTCATTCTGTTCATGTCTATCTATCTATCTATCTATCTATCTATCTATCTCTCTATTACAGTCTATATACTACAGTCCATCCATATCTATCTATCTATCTATCTATCTATCTATCTATCTATCTATCTATCATTACGTTTCTGTCTATCTCATTTTGTTTCTATGTATGTATGTATGTATCTATCTATCTATCTATCTATCTATCTATCTATCTATCTGTCTGTCTAATTCTGTTCATATCTATCTATCTCATTTTGTTTCTATCCATCTATCTATTTATCTATCTCATTCTGTTCATGTCTATCTATCTATCTATCTATCTATCTATCTATCTATCTATTACAGTCTATATACCACAGTCCATCCATATCTATCTATCTATCTATCTATCTATCTATCTATCTATCATTACGTTTCTGTCTATCTCATTTTGTTTCTATGTATGTATGTATGTATATATCTATCTATCTATCTATCTATCTATCTATCTATCTATCTATCTATCTATCTATCTGTCTAATTCTGTTCATATCTATCTATCTCATTTTGTTTCTATCCATCTATCTATTTATCTATCTCATTCTGTTCATATCTATCTATCTATCTATCTATCTATCTATCTATCTATCTATCTATCTATCTATCTATCTATCTATTACAGTCTATATACCACAGTCCATCCATATCTATCTATCTATCTATCTATCTATCTATCTATCTATCTTAGTCTATTCAGATCTATTTATCTATCTATTTCAGTCTATTCCGATCTCAATTTGTTCATCTCTATCTATCGAGCTAGCCTAGCTTAGTCTGTTCCTATCTATCTATCGATCTATCTATCTATCTATCTATCTATCTCAGTCTGTTCATATCTATCTATCTATCTATCTATCTATCTATCTATCTCTCTCTCTCTCTCTCTCAGTCTGTTCCTATCTATCTATCTATCTATCTATCTATCTATCTCTCTCTCTCTCTCTCTCAGTCTGTTCCTATCTATCTATCTATCTATCTATCTATCTATCTATCTATCTATCTCTCTCTCTCTCAGTCTGTTCATATCTATCTATCTATCTATCTATCTATCGATCTATCTATCTATCTGTCTCTCAGTCTGTTCCTATCTATCTATCTATCTATCTATCTATCTATCTATCTCTCTCTCTCTCTCTCAGTCTGTTCCTATCTATCTATCTATCTATCTATCTATCTATCTATCTATCTATCTCTCTCTCAGTCTGTTCATATCTATCTATCTATCTATCTATCTATCTATCTATCTATCTCTCTCTCTCTCTCTCTCAGTCTGTTCCTATCTATCTATCTATCTATATATCTATCTCTCTCAGTCTGTTCATATCTATCTATCTATCTATCTATCTATCTATCTATCTCTCTCTCTCTCTCTCTCTCTCAGTCTGTTCCTATCTATCTATCTATCTATCTATCTATCTCTCTCAGTCTGTTCCTATCTATCTATCTATCTATCTATCTATCTATCTATCTGAGTCTGTTTCATGTTCTATCTATCTATCTATCTATCTATCTATCTATCTATTTGAGTCTGTTCATATCTATCTATTATCTATCTATCTATCTATCTATCTATCTATCTATCTCAGTCTGTTCATATCTATCTATCTATCTATCTATCTATCTATCTATCTATCTATCTCTCTCTCTCTCTCTCTCTCTCTCTCAGTCTGTTCATATCTATCTATCTATCTATCTATCTATCTTTTCTTTATTTTATTTCGCATTCTTTGTCTTCTATCTTCGGTATCCTTCTTCGTGTTTCTCTTGCTGAAATTCTTTGGCCAACTCATCAGCCGAGATGCGGTCATTTTTTATGCAAGTTGACGTCAGCAAAAATATCAATCAAAAAAGCACCTGTACACACGATAATCCCATTTTATCACATACATACTTTTTCTCTCCAAAAGAATGCTTTTTTTTGTTTTTTTTTACATGAATATACACTTCCTATTTAAAAAGATTTACATATAAATAGTCCAAATATCCAAAGACAGGCTTTGTTTTACGTAAGTCTATACTTAAAAGGAATTGTATTGCAAAAAAAAAAAGAAAAAAAATGGCAACATGGTCGTGCCATATGGAAAGCATTGTGTGCTTTGTTCAATAATTGTCTGTTATTTAGCGTGATACATGCAAAACTATTCTGATGCCATCCCGGCATACCAATATGAATATATGTTTCTGGATTTTTAAAAATCATTTTTACTTCAAGCAAGGCAATAATGCTACTAAGACGCAAGGGATTAGTGGAAATGAAAGAGAATGAAAATAGTTTAGTGACAAGAAAGGGCAATAAAAGAACAGGTTTCAGAAAGACAGAAAATGGCGATTCATGTTGCATTTGAATTTTTGGAGACTCTCTGTGGCAGGGAAGTAAGAAATCGAAAGAGAGTACTGAGAAGCGAGAGTGAAGAATCTATTAGAATAGAACTTACGGTTGCATTTAATTGAGAGACGAGTTTAGTTCTTTTTCTGAACCGTTCCTAGGTTCATCACTTTGTAGCTAATCGGACGCAGACGACACTGAGAAACTGAATTCTTCATATAAATTTTGATCTGTTTTCATTTTAAGACATGGAATTAGTAAAATATTTCAGATACTTCAATGTCTGGAGCAGCTATAACAACTTTAGTATATAAAATAAGGAAATTTAGTATCGAATAGCATGTACTAGGGGTAGATTTACCCAATAATTGCACCAGTAGCAAAAACTTGATCTAAAAATTTGAGTCATATTCTCTAATAACCACGTTAGATAAAGAAATTTCATATGGATGTCATGCATAAGGCGAAACTCGTTCAGAGTTGATGACTTTCAACGACAGAAAAAACTTAACTATATAGCTCATGTAATTCGAAGAGAAAATAATAATAAAGTTATTGACATTCCACAAAAGCAAAAAAAAAAACAAAAAAAACGTTATGGCAACAAAGATGAGGACAATAGTCCGAATAATGTAAATAGTGAACATAATACCTCATCTCAGAAATATAGACAGATACTGAAAGGCTGAAACATTGTGATAAACACGGCGACAAAGTTGAGGAAAATATAGACCGATAAGAAAGGAAGCCCTCATCAATACTGGAAAGAGCTATAAAAGTTAGTGAAATTGAGAAACCTATTTTCCTAAAAAATTCTTCTGAGAGAAAGATTTTATAAATTCCAACCGAATGTAGCAGTTCCTTTTTGGTCAACGAATGTTTCATTATAAGGTTGAGATTACCATTATTATTCTGTTTCTTGTCGAGTCGGTACACCACACCCATCCAGTGTTGCCTTGGATGTTAAGTTTTCAAGTTCTTTATGTGTGCATGAATCTTCAAGATTTGGGCAAACTAGATTTTCCGTATTTTGTGATTGGCAGCATTGGCAGTTGTGATCAGCATCGGTGGCTTATGCTCATTTCTGAAGGTTAGCTCTACAACGACCAGCTGCTGTTCGGAGACGATTTGGGCAGTACAGGAGGGCCAGGCATCACTACAGACAGAGGAAGGGATTCCGTAGGGCTGAGCCTTTGTTCCACGTTGTTAAGGTGGCTGCACCATAGGGACAGACGCTGACTAGGAGCTATGTTGTTCAGTGGTTCGCCTGAGTGTAAAAAAAAAACCAAAAAACTGTGTCCCTACTTGAGCGTCTTTGTCATTGGTTCACAGCCGTGGAGTGGATAGCGAGGGTCTAAGGAAAGAGCGTTCACGTTGCGGACCTCAGAGATGTGCTCTACCATTTGCCAATCCTTCCCCTCACACTACCCTACCATATGAGAAGAGGAGATTATACATTTTGTTCAAAGCATAATGTCCCTGGAGTGAAGGAAAGTAGTAGCACGATCAGTGAATATTCAATATTTCCTTATAGGGAAACGGCAAATATTACCATCGCCATTACTATTTTGCTGTTGGGCACGTGGCCGAGTGGTTAGAACGTTCCCATTCTGATCATGAGATCTCGGTTCGAATCTCACCATGGAGACTTCTGTTATCAGCCTGGAAACTGCCTGAAATCCATACCACGGGTTGAACCAAGCCTTGTGAGTGAAATTGGGTAGACGGGACACTTGGGAAACCGTCGATGGTTCTGCTAGCACGAAGTAACAAGTCATTGACCGAGTTCAGAGTGTTGATCTCGCCAGATAATACGGTCTCTCCTAGGAACTGTAACTAAGATACGCTAAGCATAGTTGCAATATAAACCAGAGCTCTGTGGCTGGGCATCTTTAAATCAATCAAAATAGGAAAATGGCGAAGGAAAGCAAGAAGAAAGGACTAAGCATAAACTATAAGAAATGGCTGCTGAACAAACATAAATAAATGTACCTGAGCAGGCTTCTGCAATGGGGATTAGTGAAACGCCCTAGTAGAATGGCATCCACAGATGCATTTTTATTAAGGCGCATTTTTATTAATTATTTTGCTAATGACTATTTTTTCTAAGTTTTTATTTTGTTAATGGCAAAAAAATATATTGCTAATACTACAAAACTTATTTCTTTTATTTATTATATTTGCAAAATTATTTTGCTAATACTGCAAAATGTTACTAATAATGCAAAAAATAGTATTTTGCTAATGGCTATTTTACTAATGGCAACACATTTTCCTCGTTTCGGAATTATTCCTCAAAACTTGGAAACATTTTCCTTGCATGACAGATTGCATAAATGATATACGTAAACTTCAAAAAAACTCCAAATAAATTTATTGGATTTAAATAAAATGACGTTAATAATTTTCGCACCTGCCTACTGTACATATACCTAGATAAATATATGTTGTATATGACTGAAAAATATATCCATTAATAGTTTGATTTATTTGTAAAGGAAAAAAAAATGAGTCAAAAGGTCTTGTTTATTTCTTGTAAAAAAAAAAATCTGTAAAAAGTTGTTAATATAAAATTGTTCGGAAAATAATGTCCGATTTTAGACTCATCTTGAATTAATGTATCGGAACCGTTTTTAAATCAGTCAAAATAGGAAGGTAGCGAAGGAAAGCGAGAAGAAAGGACTAAGCATAAGCGACAAGAAGACAACATGCATAATTATGAGCAAAAAGATGAACCCAAAAATGCAAATTAAAGGTCGGAGATCCAGCAGGTACAGAAATCTGAATATTTGGGAAGTGTTTCAACAGAGGATGGAATGTGCAACACTGGGATCCGAAGACGTATTGCGATGCGCAAAGTTGCATTCCAAAAGCTAAGAACAGTATTAAGAGATAAAAAAAAAACTGGAAACAAAGAAAAGAGTACTGAACAGTTAAGTGATATTTGTCCTCCCGTATGGCAGTGAATGCTGGACAATCTCCTCAAAGATGAAGAAGAAACTCGAAGTAATAGAAATGTGGTTCTACAGAAGGATGCTGAGGATACAATGGACGGAATATATGAACAACGATGAAGTTTTAGAAAAAAATGGAAACAAAAAGGAAACTTATACTTAAGTTCAGGAAGAAACAGTTGAAGATTCTCGGGTACATAATGAGAAAGGAAGGCTTGGAAAATCTGATACTTACATGGCGGATTTATGGAAAGAGGGGCAGAGGAAAGCAGCGTGTAATATACTTGATGGTCTTGAGAAAAATGGATGGCAGAACAGGGTTTGGAAGAAATAACAAAAAGACAAAACTTATTAAGAGCTACAAGGGACAGGACGATGTGGAGGGCCATGATCGCCTAAGGTCTGACTTGACACAACACATGGATGAAGATACATCTTACATTTCTGACATCGTGTGACAAGTTATTTATGCCTTTATGATAAAACACTAAATTGAATGCAGTTTTTGCATCTTCTTTGAGACGTAATACCTTTTGTCTTAATCTTTCGAGATGCGTAAAAGTCATAGTCAGTGGATGAAAGATTTATTTAAGTCTGTTCATCTCTCTTTATATCTATCTAGATCCAGTGAGAGGACCTAAAGAGTTCTGTATTAGACTATGCTCGAGGAAAGTCATAAAAGACTGTGTAGCGTAGGCCGTTTTCCAGGACATGCTGTAGGAGCTAGACTATTGACGTATTATGTGCCGTGTCACAGGAGGTACGTCTATTGAACACTTGTGAAATCGTTCATGAAATCTACTTACGTTTGAATTTTTTATTTAAATTTTGATAAATAAATCTTATTTTGCTCAACAGCCTGTCTTTTGTTTAGATTATCGTCGTAATGTAATGTCCCACACTCCTTATCGCCTATGTGGTCTGACTATATCAGTAGATATATATAGTGAGCACAGGATACAACTGTGTCTTTGCTTCGACAATTAGTTGCAGATTCTTCTCCAGCTGTGCTCGTCGAACTCTCTGCCTTGGGTCTGAGAGTAACCCAGATGAGTCTATGCCGAAGGGCAGAGTCTCGTCTGGGGTGGTAGACAGCTACCCGACCCTGTTTTTACGGGGTCTACGGGGCATTTTTGCCCGAGCCTACGAGCTCTGTTTTTCTCCGCATTATAAACGGCCTTGTGCAACATCCTGCCTCGCCGGAAGGTGAGGCAAATAACTTCGGGAATTGCTAGCCTGCCACCCGATTCCCTGTCTTTCAGTAACGTATTCTCTTTTAAAATAAACCTCTCTTTCTTTCGTCTATGCGCATGTTCCTGTTCCTTCACTCGAGTACCACCTTTGTTTGTAACGTCTTTAACAATTATGTAGTTAGCCAGGTATTTACATCTCAAATGATAATAAATTCTTTGAAACACCCTGTATTTTAAGAATTTGGTCAGACCAAGAACAATTCTGCAATTATTTTACCACAACAAATATAGAATATGG